GTTTCGGGCCTAGACCCTTCCTGCTCCTCTGCTGCTTGGCCTGCTGTGTTCATCCAGCTCTACACCTTGTTATCTCCGTTTCCCCAGAATATTACTTGGGATTAGCAATCCAGTGATAATACCACTAAGCTGTCACCTTCGCCCAATTCGTCCCAAATGCATAAGGCTGCATGTTGCAATTTCTTGTTCCCTTCTCTGAGTTGTGAATCATCCCATTCCTGACCTGAGCTATGAGTCAATGTCTCTGGGACGAATGTGTGCAGCCAGAAGTGCCAAACTGCCAAATATTGGAGACGCTGGCATTGAGTCCCTTATCTCTGTTGAGTCTTTTTTCCAGTCACTGCGGTAGATAATTTAAGACTGAGAAGGGTTGACTATTTTCTGATGATCACTTGATTATTGCTAATGGCATCTTGTAAGGATCCTTCAGAGTTTGGCTTTCAAAGCTACATAAAACACCATTTCTGGTGAATTTGACCATTGGTGTTTAGGATAAACCATAAAAATTCTCATGGTCAGCAGAAACAGGGATTGACTGACTGCGTATACGAGATATCAGAAATGAAGGGTCCAGACCCGAAACGTCAGCTTTCCTGCTCCTCTGATGCTGCTTGGCCTGCTGTGTTCATCCAGCTCTACACCTTGTTATCGCAGATTCTCCAGCATCTGCAGTTCCTACTATCTCTTGACTGACTGAGTACTCAGGATTAATATTGCTGCCTACTCCTTCCCCCACCCCCATGCCCTCACCTGCAACCTGCCCATCGTGAGAGTTGCATGCAGTCTTTCCCTGCATGACTAAAAGAATGTTGTTGGTCACAGGCCATTTAATTTGATGGCTGTTGGAAAACTTTCGTCACTTTTTATGGAATTCACACCAAGATAGTCAGGCTTCAGTAAGCATGCATTGTAGAGTGCTGTTCCTATTTAACTTGAGCTTCCCGTGACCTGGTCAAGGCAAAGAATTTCATAAGTCAAGTGAAACCCTTAGCTCTCTGGGTCCTAATTTCATGCAAATCTCCGCCTCGTGCCCCCTCTCCCCCCCCCCCCCCCCCCCCCCCCAACCTTCCTGGAAGAGCCCACTATTTCTGGCAAGGCCAGAACGTGTGGCAGGTTTCTTAGGCCTCCCATCTCTCAAAGTGCATTGTCAATCTTTTATTGCTACTCAGTCAAAATCCTGGAGCTCCCTGCCTGTCAGCATTCTGTGTCCTAACTGCATACAGACTGCAGTGGTTCAAGAAGGTAGCTCACCACTACTTTGAGGGCAACCAGAGATGAGCAATAAATCCTGGCCCAACCAGCGATGCCCACATCCCATGAAAGAGTTAAACAAAACGCTGAACAACAGATCATAGGACTCAGAATTTGATGGTGTCATTTTCTTTTTAATAAATGTTGAGGTGTGGTTTGTTGAGCAAAATATAATGAGTTAGATTCCTAGTGGGTGGCTGGTGATGCGCAATCGATATTGTTCTAGTGATATGAAAATGGAGAGGGAGTTCCTTGGCCTTTTTTGTTCTGTTGTTACAAAGATTATGACATATTTACTTCACAGACTTTATCTGTTCTAGTTGTTAACAAACATACATCATGTTACATGGAGAGTTATAGTGCAATTTTAAATATCAAAATATGCCATTCAGCGGAGGTGACTGGAATAACCCATTGTGAATAGGATCTAGCACTGAATCTAAAGAAGAACTGTCGTGATTGGGCAGTGGGTGTAGGTACTTTTCCAAGACACTTCCACTGCTATTGCCTTGGGCGTTGAATTTTTTTGGGCTATTTGGCCATGAGGATATCACAGCCAAGCCTACTGTTATTCGTAGTCAAGCACTGATGAGGCACCCTTTTCTAACAGAGTTTTTCCATGTTTTGATCAAGAATGAACCCAGCCTGAGTTTTACTGAACTTTTTGCCATTAGTTAGCACTCTTACTGCTGCCTTCAGCTTTGGCTTAGGACAGACAAAAGAGGCCTACAATTATTCTGATGTGAGTGACCTCCGTATCACACTGGGTTGTGTGTCTGCAGTCTGGGATGGAGCAGATCAGTTTGCTTACTTTCTATCAATGAACAGTCAGCTTATTCAGGTGGCTGTGGTAACAGTGAAAATACAGATCTTGTTCAACAACAATCTTCATTTATGATCCTGATGCCTGTTGCATTTAACTTCATTGAATCTGCGGCTCTTAGGGTGATGCTGCTATCAATTGGAGAATGAGTCAGAGGGTTATCTCCTAGCTTGGTCTTCAACCTGAGCTGGTATTGACTGCGGCTCCCCGCTGAGAGCTGTTATTTTAACATGAAACGTTCATCCAGTCATTTTGAGCTCTTTCAATGTGTCTATCAAAACCGTCAATTTCATTGCCATCTGGTGATCTGAGTTCTAACCTCAATTAGGGGTTTCCTTTAGTGACATAAACTTGTCATGACAAGGTTTGCCAATGTTAATGGAATAGTGTACACCCTTCAAAAGTCAGTACACTTATCGGCTTTTTTTGTTCTTAATTTCTTTTAGTTTTTGAAAACAAGGATAAAATTGTGATCATTATGGAGTATGCAAGCAAGGGTGATCTATACGACTTCATCAATGAGAAGCAGAGTCTGACTGAGCAAGAAGCCCGTCATTTCTTCAGACAGATTGTATCTGCCATTCATTACTGTCACAAGGTATGATATCAGACAGCATCTGCTAAACAGCTTGTCTCTCTTGGTGGGTGGCATATGGGATTCTAACACAAATCGATTTTCAATGGACTTTGTCTGCACAATTGGAATTAGTGAACATGCAACTTTTACACTGTGCACACTGTCTGTCTGTGTGTGTCTCATTTGTTCAGTCTTGCGCTCTCTCTACATGATGCATTTGGTGATTCTCTGCCTCACCTGCACTACCATCACATCCCACCCACCCAATCCTATCAGTGCCCCTCACAGGTTGGTTTCAAGTTGTGGGTTTTCATTGGTAGCTACCAATGTCCCCAGTACTTTCAGTATTGTGTATAGCATGAATACTGCCTCCTCCCCATGTCACTTCAGCTCTAATTAAGAGTCATCTAGACTCAATGTTAGCTGGCTGTCTCTGCATGGACGCTGCCTGACCCGCTGTGATTTCGAGCATTTTTTTTTTGTTTTCAGTACAGACTCCTCCATCTGTCGTACCTTGCTCCTGCCTTTCAGTAAGAGAGTTTGGTGAGGGAGGTACATAAGTTAGTGGTGGAGGATATGCACAGGCTGGTGTCTGGTGAGTCAGGGTTGGGTGTGGTTGTGAAGCCGCAAGCAGTCCAATAGCTTGCGGATACTCTCTCCATTCAGATTTGCTCAGGTGAGGGATCAGGTGGGTTCCTGGCACCTATTGAATGCTCAGCCCCTCCGGGAATAGAGAAAGTGAAGTAACCGAAAGTAAAACCCTCCAACTGACACTCATTGTATTTTAATGAGGGCTGGTGAGAAACAGGTTGTTTTCAAACAATTACGTTAGGTGTAACCAGATTCTTTGCTGATAAGGTCACAGGTTTGAATGATATTATTCTGTCTAAAATAGAATGGGTGCATTGGGTGTGCTGACGAGGGTGGCATATGGATCAACATGAAATTTTTGATTCCACCAATTGCTGCTGGCTGGTTGACATCGACATGATAATGACGTATTCTGCAGAGGGTTATGGGGGAAGGCAGGGTTGGAGGGGTTGAGAATAGGGAAGAAGTGTTTGCCATTTCTAGCATCTGAATTCCCATTCGTGCAAAGCTCTTTGTATCATCAAAGTGATGCCCTTTTTAATTAACAAAAGAAAACTGGGCAAGCATCAAGGTGTTTTCTTCTTTTTAAATGTTTGTTTTTCCTTTTTCCCATCTTTTGTAATCTAAGCCTCCATGCTTTCGAGAATAACTAGACCAACAAGAATGCAGTCAAGTTCATTTGTGATTTTGAATCTAAAGTTGAGGAATGCGTGGGAGAGTATTTTTTTGTATGTGTTTTGCCTCTAGTGAAACCTGAGCTGGCAATATCGGAGATTAAGAAACATTTTTACTGTAATTAAAAAACATTTACAGTTTCTCTTTCCTCTCTCTTCTCCATTCACACTCCTGTATCGGGTGTGGTCCAAATCAAATCCAGCAAATTTCCTTCTTGTGTGATCCCGACTGTAATATCATCAAGACCCCGATAGCTCAATAGGTGTAATGCCAGAGGCGCCACCCAGTCATGTCTTTTCCTGTAAATGTGACTGATGATCTGAGACAGCATTCCTTGACAGATTTCGCTCCCTTTTCCCCCCTCATCCAGGTTGGACCAGATAAATAAGCAAGCCTTGTACTCCCTATTACTACAGGAGATTGTGTGGGGTAATCATATGGAGTTGCTTAAAATTATAAAAGCATTGGAGGAGGTTGATACAGAGAAAGTACCCCCTGCTGGGAGAATCATGAACAAAAGAGCATCATTTTAAAAGGAGAGCTGTGTAGGAAGAAAATCAGGAAGCACTTGTTTGACACACTCTTTTGCTGGAATGATTGTCAAAGCTGGGCTTAATTGGCATTTTCCAGACTCTGATGAATACCTCCCTCCACAGCGCACACGGGCAGTTGTCTGCACCATCTACACAAGGCACAGCAGCAACTCTCCTTCAACAGCACCTTCCAAACCCATGACCTTGACCAATTCGAAGATCAGAAACATTGCCAACTCCAACTTTCCCTCCAAGTCTCACATTCTCTCCTGACTTGGAAATCTATCACCCTTCATTCACAGTCACTGGATCCAACTCCCTCCCCAATGATACTGCTTGTGTCCCAGGGACTGCAACAGCTCAACATGGTGATTCACCACCACCTTGCCTAGGGCAGTTAGATTTGGGCACTAAATGCTAGCCCAGCCAGAAAAACATACATCGTAACATTCAATACAATAAGACTTGAAAGCAGAAGTAGGCCATTTGGCCCATCAAGTCTGCTCCTCCATTCAATGAGATCATTAATCCTTAACTCTACTTTTCTGCCTTATCCCCATAACCCTCAATTCCCTTACTGTTTAAAAGTTTGTCTACTTATCGACTGAGCCTCGGCGGCCCTCTGCAGTAAAGAATTCCACAGATTCGCTACCCTCTGAGAGAAGAAGTGGCTTCTCATCTCTGTTCTAATTGGACGATTCCTTAATATGAGATTATGCCCAATTCATCCAGTGAATGATTCTAAAGGAAAAGAAATTGCCGAGTTGAGGACTATGGAAGTGACACAGAGCAGCCATGATCTAATTGCGTGGCCGAACATCTTGAGGGGCCGAATGGCTTCTTCCTTTTGTTGTGGTATTCACAGGGAGTTGGGGCACAGAAATTGCCTGGGTACCAATAACTGGCACCATGTGCAGCCTGGGCTCTTCCAACATTACCAACTACTCTTCCAGGCATCAACAAGCTAAAAGACCATCTGCCAAACTCCCCTTCAGCTGATCCCAGTGCCAGAATGTTCTGTCCTCACTTGAGAACATTGTCCGAAAAAATAAATGTGTTTGTGATAGTTTTCCCTTTTAAAGGAAAGGAAGTCGCAAGATTTGAATTTCCTGTTTCTTTTTATTTTCTTTTTGCCCTCCCAATAATCCAGTACCGTCTAGAACAAGTTCCGCTTGTGTTTTCATAACATTTGGCGACATGCAAGAATCGTTTCCAACCACCTGGGTCTTTTTAAAACAAAAAAAGTTAAAACAGATGTTGGCAACCCAACATGACCAGCTCAAAATAGATGTTGTTCCCTATTAGTAATAATTCAATTATACCAGTCCCCTTTTCTCGTAAGGTTGCACAGGTTCATTGTTAGAAGGGCTGAGTGTATTTGGGGTGGGATGAGCTGTGTTTGAGGGTTTTTTTTCCTTGCTCCTTGGACGGTGGTTGATTCGTCCCCAGGTACCTCTGAAGCAACCTGCTGGAGCACAGCGAGCTAGAGAGAGCTAGTCTGCATGCTGTGTGTCTTGGCATTGTGCCACTTTGCGTTAGGGCAATACAAGTCATGTACAGAGATCAGACGAAGCCTGTTTCCAATTGAGCCTAATTTACAAGCCCTGTGTTCGCTGCAGGTGGAGAAAGACCGTGGGGGTGGTGGGAAGATAGGGGAAAGGCATGCCAGAGGTGAAAGGTCATTCTGCTTTGCCTCCCACACCACCTCCACATAAAAGACTCTACTCATTTTCCAGTTCTCTTTAGACAAGACTCGAGGGGAATTAAACCTTCAGGGCTTTTCTTCAAACACTCTTTCATTCAAGGGGAACCAAGAAACTTAATGGACAATTGTTTGGAATGTGGGGCCTGGATTCAATACCCACAATGAATACTCGGCCTCAAAAGATGAAAGCCAAGCTGGAGATTTAGCTGAAAGCGACATGCTATCTTATTTTCCATATGTCAGGCAGTAGGACTCGTAGTCTGATGTCTGAAAGCACCACTTGGCATTGCAGGAGCACATAGAGCCTTGACTTTCATTCCTCAGTCGTTACTATCTTAGCTGGAGGAGGGGAAGATGGGTTCCACAGTTATCTTCCCATCCCTGGGGTTAAGAAAGCAAAAATGTAGCTGGGTTCCCTATTCCTTTTCTGTCCAGTGAGATCCCCCTGGCACACTGCACCTGCGTGGTGCTGATCAATTTCACAAGTAGATTTCAAGAATGCTGTCTTTGGTCAGATTTTCTTCCTGCAGGATTCAACATGTGACTGCCCTTGAAATATTCTTTTATTTTTGACAGTTATTTCATCATAAGGATAGATATGATTGTGTTGGAGGTGGAATAGTTAAGGTTCACTAGGCCCCTAGAATGAGAGAATCCCTCCATTGAGAAGAAGCTTAAGAAACTTGGGTTTGTAATCCCTGGAATTTAGATGAATGAAAAGTGATTACATTCATTCTGAAGGGCCTTGACAGGGTTAGACACAGATTGTTAGCCCCTCTCTGGGGAATCCAGAACACTGGGCGTAGCTTCTCGGCAATCACTTAAGTCTGTGATTAGAGAGAATTTCTTCACTTGAGTTGTAAATGGACTTTCCGTCTCAAAAGGTTGACTATGCTCCATCATTAAATATACTTAGGGCTGAGATAGACTTTTTGTCTCTTGGCAAGATTGAGGATATGGGAAAAAGGATTTGAATCTGAAGATAAATCATAATCGTATTGAATGGAAGAGCAGTCTCAGTGGGCTGAATGGTCTACCCTCACTCTATTTCTTGCATTTTATCTTTGGGTCAAATGCTCAATCTTCAACAACACTAATGCCTCACCTTCACCTTATGGACTGCAGGGGTTCAAGGCTGTCCTCCTTTTTAACAGGGAACAACTAGGGAATGGTAATAAAAGGACACAAATTAACAATATTATTGGAAATTTTTTTTAAGCAAAACATGTTTAATGAAATTGGAAACAAGTTGCCCCTGAAATTTTTTTCTGATTCGAGGGATTAATTTCTGGAAACTTCAAATATGATTCTGTAGGCTTGGACAAGTCTAGGGTGGATAGATTTGTGTGTTGCATTGCCTGAATTTTCATGTAATCTTCTCACACTGGTAAAGTGGGATTTGGGGTTATTTGGACATTATTGGATTGGGGCAATACTATTCAGAGCTGTAGCCCAGCATGAGGCACCTAACATCTTCAGGAGAAGTGGGAAGAAGCGCTCGAGGTTTGAAAACGAGCTGGATGCATTGACTGTAGAATGCTGAAACAACTGCTGCTTGGGTTAGACCGGACCCCCAGCCTAGCTTCCTCTGACAGGCAACTGGGAGCTGTCTTCTCCCCATGTCTGCTGGTTCACATCCTGAACTCCTAGCGTCAGAGTTCCATGCCTCCCTATTCCAGTTAAACTAGCTGCCAGACAAGGGCACACTCAGCACTGCAGAGCTGCATTGTTCAATCAAGAAATGCAAACAATTGCATAACAAAGTTATTGCCTCTGCCTCTGTAGGAGCTTGAGGCCCTTCATGAGCGAGAGGGACAAGAGAACTCAAAACTCCTTTGCTTCCACTGGCTAAACCTTTTCAAGTATGCAGTAAAGCCAAGATCGATTGAGAAATGTTTGACTGTCTCTCAATGCCCTCTGGAGCTGAGCTAAGAATTTATGGTCTTGGTTTGGTTTCCTGTTTTCCAGAATGGGATTGTGCACCGGGACCTGAAGCTGGAGAACATCCTGCTAGATGCCACCAGGAATGTCAAGGTAAGGAGTGCAGCTTTGCCGGTTGCTGAAGTTTGTTCAGAGAACAGTTTCTCAGTTAAAGGTGTGAAGTTTCCCTTGGCCATGGTGTTGACTTTTTTTTTGCAGATCCCTCCGTGGTTCTACCTCCTCCCTATCTCCCATTGCTCTCATAGCCCTCTGAAATACCTGTGCTGCTCCAAATTTAGCGTCCCTGAAAGTGATCAAAAGTGTGATTGCTCACGATGTTCAAACCCAGCTGAGAGTCTTAAACTACAGAATTCCTCGCTAAACCTCTCCGTTGCTCTGCTGTCCTTTTAAGTCATTTCTGCTTCGTCGAGGAAGGCTTTGGCCATCAGCTCTAATGTCTCATGTGGCTGAATGTCAAAATTTGTTGGATAACATTTCCATGATATAACTTGAGATGCTTTACAAAGTTAAAAGTGCTATATAATTATAAAATGGTGACTGTGTGTATAGGAGAAATGGCCTCTGAATTGAAAAGTGTGTTTCTCCCTGATTCTGTGATTACTTTACTTAGGGATGGCCTGAAACAAGGTACCCTTACCTGGAAAATCATTCACCTTTTGTTTCTGCCTCTACGTTACTGTACTCTTCAAATCAATAAGTATTACCTTCTTGACTGCTGCAGACTAAATTGATTAAAATACTAATTGCAGCCTCTGTATCTTTGCAAACCAATAAATGAGATTGTTTTGTGATGGGTTCTATAAAAGGTCACTGTAACAAACACGCATTGTCACCTAGCAACTGCTACAAACATACTCAACCCTAACTATCTCAATAAAGAGTCATTCAGTCCCAGTCTATTTTTTTTCGGAAACTATCTTCAGTTCCAATGAGAGTCTCACTATTTCTCTCTTCCCCAGCCTCCAAAACCACTAAATCAGCCCAAGTAGAGATCACTGACACCCATTGCAGAATACCTACCCACGATCTGTGCCCAGGCTAGATTTAAACCATAGCCATGGCTACCTGTGTCAAGAGCTACCTGTTTTAGATCTTCAGAGCAGATTTCAGGTAGTCCAATGTTTCAGTTCACTTCACAATCATTCATTTGAATTGGGTGTTTTCCCCTCCCTTTCTGCTTTTGTATAGATATTGCAGACAGAATCTGGCCATTTGGTCCAACTGGTCCATGCCAAGCAATTTATGGTACACCTAACCCTATCTGCATGTATTTATCTTCCTTTCTCCCTCAACTGGATCGAACCATCACCCCTAGATATTCAATAATGTTACCATCACTGAATTGCCCACCGTCAACAATTGCCAGAAACTGAACTGGACCAGGCACATCAATAATCTGGCTACACTAGCACATCAGAGGATTGGAATCCTACAGGTAGAAACTAGCATCTTGAATTCCCAAAACCTGTCTACCGTCCACAAGGTACAGGTGGAGAGTGATGGAATACTCCCCACCAGCCTGGATAAGCAGAGATCCAACTTGTTTGACATAATCCAGGACAAAGCAGCCAACTTAACTGGGACTACAAGCCTTCACTCCCTTAAGTATCAATGCTCAGTAGCAGCAGTGTGCACCATCTACAAGCTGCACTGTAGAAATTCACCAGGTCTCCTTAGGCAGCACCCTCCAAACCCATAACTAACTCCATCTAGAAAGACAAGGAACATCAGCATCCATAAGTTCCCATCCAAGCCACCCTCATCCTAACATGGAAATATATGGTTGTTTCTTCACTGTCATTGGGTCAAAATATGAAATCCCTCTCCTATAGCAAATAAACTTCAGCATTCCAAAAGGCAACTCACCGGCAACTAGGAATGGGCAATAAATGTTGTCCCAGCCAGCAAAGTGCACATTCCCTGAATGATTGTGTGTTTTTTTTTTAAAAGAAAGAAACTAGCTTTCCCTTAAAGAATGTTTCAGGTGCAGTGACCCTTCTTGTAAACACAAGAGAGGTTCTTTTTCTGTTATGAAGAAAGGTTACTGGACCCAAAACATTAACTCTGATTTCTATCCATAGATGCTGCTTGAGCTGCTGAGATTTTCCAGCAATTTCTGATTTTTGTTTCTGATTTCCAGCATTCTCAGTCTTTAATTTTGTTTTTGGACTTGGATAAATCATTGGAATGGAAAATTGGGGAAGGATCAAGCAATTAGAATGAACTAGATCGTTAAAAGAGCTGTTGTTAACTTGGATAGACCAACTAGTTTCTTCTGATTTTTGTCATTCTGAAATCCTTAGATAAAGGGAAAGAGCTCTGAATATTCATTTCAGTTACAGTGCAGGTTTGGGACTGATGATGGATGTTTTAAGGACAAAAAGATGCCAGTGGGAAAGTAACAAAGGAATGTTAAAGAGCATTAATCAGGTCAAATTCATAAAATTCCAATCTACAGATGTTTTTGCAGTGGATTTCCGTAATAATTGATTCTAGTTGAGAATCTGTAAATTCTGTCTTCAATCATTTAACCAGATTGCAACAGTTTGGTCTGATTTTCATTGAATATTTGAACTTCTTTTCTTCAGAGCAGTGAATGCTTACTTACTGAGTATATTCAAAGCAGAAGAGGATAGGTTTTTGTGGTTTTAAGAAATTGGGGCTCATGGGGGAAATGTAAGCTGTTGGGCTTGAGATAGAAGATAAGCCAAGATCTCATTGAATGGTGCAGAAATTTTGATGGGCCAAATGGTCGACTCCAGCCCTGTCCCTTATTTCTTTAATTTTGGAATTTGTTATTTAATCTGACAACACACCATGCACTTGTTTCAGTTTTTCTCCCCCTTTGTTTTCTTCTGAAGCTGTTGAGCGCAGTTTCACAAGTATTTACATCTTTGTCTAGCCTATCCATTCTGTAGTGCCATGAAAATACTTGATTGTAGAAAATAACAAGAGGACAGCCTGATCCTGGCATTATCGTAGCCCCCATGCACCTGAAGGCAAGAAGAAGTGTTATATGATAAATAGAACGGAGACCCCATCTGATTTCCTCCTCTGCCCCTCCGAACAGGTGCTGAAGCGAACTGTAAAAGCAGTCCCCTCCAAAGGCCCAACCAGTAGCTGACTGGAGCCCACCCTTAACTGGGGTGTGCTGTTTGCATTAGACTCTCTCCATTTTGCAGTATCTATTTGGCCTATTTTTGCTACGAGTCTGTTTATCTTTCTTTTGTCATGCTCAAAGGCCTGTGATCTTTGCTCAAAACTGACCCTGACATTCAAATTGCTAGTTAATATTTCACATGATCTTTTAAAATCTACAAAATTGAAAGCATCGAGGGAGGTAAAAGTGATGGGTTCAAAATGCAGATCAGCTTTGATCTAATTCAATGATGGAACAGTTTCTAGGGGCTTTGTAATGGCCACATCTGTTCCTGTGGCTTTTTTCTGTCAGTTTAAGTAGGCAGCAGGAACAATTTCATCGCTGGGTATATTCGCAGTGCAGTGCATTTCGATGGAAATGATGTTTATCAGCTGAATTGTTCAGTCTTTTTGAGGTTTAGGGCAGCCCAAGGGGTCACTGGATAAGACAGGGCCAGGGTGTGTTACTGACCTACATAAGACCAGAGATCCCGACTTTGTGCTGCCTAACTTGTCTCAACTGTGCCATGAGAACTGGCCTGGACACTCCCAAGATAGGTGAGAGAGAAAGTGTCTGGATGTACCAAAAGTGCTTTGCAACCTGTAGTTGTTGTAATGTAGGAAATGGAAGTCAATTTATGCGCAGCAATCTCCCACAGTGTGGTGATAACTAGGTAATCTGTTTTTAATGGTTTCGATTGATGGATAAACTGGGCACACTTCTTGTTAGAAAGAAAGACAAATATTGGCATAGGACACCAGGTGCCCTATCTATCTATGGTGGCCATGTGGTTTGTGCAAGGCCATGCAGGTTGGCAAACATCCCAAATGAAATACAGCCACACCAGCTCTTGGTGTTGATACTGGAGTGTTGGCCTATATTTGCTTTGTCCTCAGCACTCCTTTTTAGCCTTTTCAAATTGAAATTCTCTCCCTGTACTGCCATCCCTTGCTTGAAAATAGTTGAATGTACTCAGCTCAGCTACAGTTACTTTGGAGCCCTAACTGCAGCAAGTGGAGGAGGAAGGAGATGACCAGCATGCCCCTCAGTCCCCCAGTTGCTGCCTCCCATCTTGAGGTCTGATTTTAAACCATTTGCAGCTGTTTTATTTTGGAAAAATAAGAAAAGAGAATTTTTGGCTTGGTGCCTAACTCTTGTATTAGAAACTAGGCCAGAGAGACCCTTTGGGAAACTGCTCAGTCCAGACCCAGATATAGCTCCTCCTCCTTGCATTAACCCTGACATATAAAAAAGTAATTACATACATACCATCTGTCAATTCTCCTCAGCTTGATCTGATCCAAGCACGTATAATTCTCTTAAGTAAATATACTGCAAATTGCACTGTTTGCTTGTTTAGAGTCTTTTAGCAACCCTGTGTTCATACGACGTGTCACTTATCACTCAGTGAGTTGTTGTTTGAATTTTTGATTTACAACGGGCAAAGTTCAAACCGTGATGGACCTTCTTTCCTCTAAAGTTGTCTTTCAATCTTTCCTTCCCAGATTGCTGATTTTGGTCTCTCCAACTTATACCACCAAGACCGATTTCTGCAGACCTTTTGCGGCAGCCCCTTGTATGCATCACCAGAGATTGTCAATGGCCGCCCTTACAGGGGTCCTGAGGTCAGTGCACTGTTTCTTAATTGTTCCCTCAGAATGGCAGAGACCTCAGAATATACTTTTCTCAGCGGGCTCTGTATTTGGTCCAAGCAAAGGTTATGTGCTACTTGGAGCTCTGACACAACACATCAACCATCCTCATCTTCGCACACCAGTGTTCCTGTCAAGGATCTCCCTATGTTGTGAAACCGGAGGAGGCCTGAGTTTGATTGCAGTAGCAAGTGGAGTCCAAAACTAGGAGCCAGGACTTGGTGATCACTCAAATTCAGTAGAGAACTCAGGCAAAACTTCTTTATTCATGGAGTTGTTAGAATGTGGAACTCTTACCATAAGGAGCGTTTGAGGTGAACTGCACAAATGAAACTAGATGAGCACCCAAGGGAGAAAGGAATGAAGGGAATTGAAGACAGGATGAGGTTAAGGAAGGTGCAAAGAGACTCCTTTACTTAAACACCAGTAGAGGCTCAATGGGTCAAATGTTTCTCTGCTGCAGCTTCAATGTGATTGCATGGTCTAGACTTTGGCTGGGTTTGGAATAGGTCTCTAGTATATAAAAGGAAAATATAGCTGGGTAGCCATCAATACATGCCACCTGGTCATGAAGTGTTAAGCAAATAAACCAAGAGTCCTTTCTTTATAAGACAAATGTTGACATATTGCATTTTGTTACCTTTGAGCAAATGTGATAGCAATTCTCTTAATCCCAGCTGCACACAAGTGATAGTCTTCAGAACTTGCAACTGAAATAAGACTGATATGCCCCTATACACAAGGCTCAGCACGTCTCTCTAAGATTTGTGTTGAACAGTGTATTGATTACACACCAAGTTGACACAAGGTGTTTAGAGAGGCTTTGAGCTTGGTCTATAGAACTGAACAATACAGTCTGAATAGTGCTAATTTATCGGTAGTGTTCTGAATAAAAAGTTATCCTACATTCACCACTATTTCTGGCTTCCAGCATCCTTAATTTGGTTTCCTAGGTAACATGAATTGTTTTCCTTTGGCAGGTTGACAGTTGGTCCTTGGGTGTACTACTCTATACTTTGGTTCATGGCACTATGCCTTTTGATGGGCATGATTACAGAAACCTAGTTAAACAAATCACCAATGGAGATTACCGAGAGCCTACCAAACCTTCAGGTAAAAATAAAACCTGCATTCATGTAGCACCTTGTGCAATCTTGATCATCCAAAAGTGTTATGCAACCAATGGAGTGACCTTAAGCGATTGTTCATTGTTGGCCAATGGGGAGGGCAGGCACATCACTACGGATAAAAGCAAAATACAGCAGATGCTGGAACTTTGAAATAAAAAGATTAAAGTGATGGAGAAACTCAGCAGAAAGCCTTAATGCTTGGAATCCAATATGACTCTCCGTTGGAATGGAAGAAGAGTCATATTGGTCTTGTAATGTCAACTCTGTTTCTGTCTCTACAGATACTGCCAGACCTGCTGACTTTCTCCAGTGCTCTCTGTTTCACATCATTATTGAAACTTGACTATCTCTTAATTTTTATTTCCATAAGGATAAGTGATAGTGGAAAATCAGGCATATTTACTGCCCATATTTACTGAGATCATCAGCTGTGCCTAGGGCAGATCATCAAAGTTGGGACCCAAACACCATGCACTTTCCCATTAGAGCTAATGGCAGATAGCATACACTGTTAAACACACAGTTTTACAATGATTCACTGGCAATGGTAGGAGGTGTTGTCTTCATTTAAACCAATTCCTGTTCACCCCTTTGCTCCTTGACCGATATTGGCTCATGGTCTACCAGTGCCTTTGAATATAAACATTTTCATCTTTGCATCAAATTTCACACCCTACCCCCATGACTTTATTCTCCTCTATCTTTGTAACCTCCTTCAGCTCATAAACCCACTGAGATTTCTGCGCTGCTTCAGTTCTGACACTTGCACATCCCCTACATTTAATGGGTACTATCCACAAGATGCACTGAAGACTTCTATGAAGGCTCCCTTAGACAGCACCTTCCAAACCAACAACCACTTCCATCTAGAAGGTCAAGAGCAGCAGATATATGGGAATGCAACCACCTTTAAATTCGCCTCCAAGATATTCCCCCTCCCTACTTGAATATATATTGCTGTTCCTTCAGTGTTGTTGGGTCAAAATCCTAGAATTCCCTGCACCTACAGCACATGGATCTGAGCAGTTCAAGAAGGCAGCTCCCCACCACCTTCTCAAGAGGCAACTAGGGATGGTCCAACTAATGATGCCCACATAACCCATGAATGAAAAAAAAAAAAATTCCATCATTGCAGCTGAATTCACAGCCTTTATAGAGGAAAGGTTTTGGAATTCCTCCTTTTTAAGATCTTCCTTTTAAACTTGGTTGAAGAGGAAGGTTTTTTTGTCTAAATACCTCCTTTTAAAACTAGTGAGATCTTTTTGATTTGCTTCCTGCAAATCGCCTTGAAAGTACTATTAAAGGTTCTGTACAAATGAACTCATGGTATTGTTGCTGCTCCAACCAATTGGAAATGGTGGTTCATTTTCTTTTTGTTTTTTTTTTGACTGTGTCTCAGATGCGTGTGGTCTTATTCGTTGGCTGTTGATGGTAAATCCAGACCGCCGAGCTACCATTGAAGATGTTGCTAATCATTGGTGGGTGAACTGGGGCTACAAGACCCCCATCTGCGAGATGGAGTCAGTGAAAGACTATGAAACGCCAGTGACTATCACTTCTGACTGGCTGCACCGATCATCTCGCATTGTCTTTGAAAGCGGCTCGAAGGTACGTTGCTTCTTCAAGCAGCACAGCTCGCCACTGGAGCGGCAGAGATCCCTCAAGAAATCGAAGAAGGAGAACGACATCTCGCAGTCGCTGCAGGAGGGGGCAGCTTCTGAAAGTCAGGGCAAGTCGTTGTTGAAGAGACCGAAAGGAATACTGAAGAAAAGGAACAATTATGAACATCGGTCACACAGTGCGGGCAATGTCAATCATCCTATACCTTCAGAGGAGACTGTCTTCACTCCAAAAGACTCGAGCACATCAGCAGTGGAATCCAATAGCCAACAGCCCAACACTGCAGTCCCTGCACCAAAGAAAGGAATACTGAAGAAGCCTGTCAAGAGAGAATCTGGTTATTATTCTTCACCAGAGCCAAGTGAGTCAGCAGACCTGCTGGACTATGAGAATTCCCCAGTCTTTGAGGTGGGGAGTTTTGACACCAGCCATTCCATTGGCGATCGCTCCAAAGAGACAACCTGCAGGCGCAAAGGCATCCTCAAACGCAACGGCAAGTTCTCCTCCAGCAGCACCGACTCTGCAATGGGAAGTCCCACCCTGAAGAGCTTGGGCTCCTTCAACGAGTTGGCCTTCTCTGACATCAGGCTGTCGTCGAATCGGAGCTACCCGTCCAGTGCGGTAAGCGAGGACAGCATCCTCTCCTCGGAGTCCTTTGACCGGCTTGACCTTCCTGAAGGCCGGCAGGAGCGCACCCAGATGCGGAGCTGTGTCTCCGCCGACGACCTGCTCCACCTGGACGGATCGGAGTCAGACTGCAGGCCGCGCCTTCGGAAAATGAAGTGCTTCACAGAGTTGGGTGACAGCAACTTCTCCCTCATGGACCTTGATCATGTGACTGAGGTATACAAAAAGGCTGTGGCAGTTTGCAATAAGCTCGTCTGAGTGCCTCTGTTATACCTGTGCCTTAATGATGGTTCATTTATAAATGGTTGATGTCAAAGCCCAAGTGCTGAGAGAAGGAAGATGAACACCTCTTTGAAAAAAGAGGAAGAAGCAGAGAATATAGGACAAATTGAGAGTGCAGAATGTAGAACAGAGCCAAGGCATAGTGCAAGGAATCACTTGTTACTTCATTAATCTAAATGTTTCACCTCCAGAGTAGATGGAAATTGTTTAATATCAAGCTGAGATCCTGAATGAAAAACCTCTGGGGTGACTCAGAAACTGCACTATGAACACTGAAATAAACAGTGAAAGAGGGGAAAATAGTGATGATCATGTGAAGCAGATTGAGTAAAACAAGAGATAAAGGTAGGAAATAATGGTATGAGGATAAGGAAAAGATGAGTGATCCTTTTTTTCCCCTCCTACTTTTCTTTTGAGGAAAAGAAAATGTGCTGATGAATGTGGGGTTGGTGGAGGCAGAGACTAGAGAACTTTTACAACGTTCAGTTTAACAAGAACCACCATTCAGATTGTCTGTACTGAAACTTGGGTCACATTAGTCTGTGATCTTGTTGGACAATGAATCATCAAGTCCATTCCACAGTGCTCTGGACTGTTCAATTGTTGCCTGCGTCGTTGGTCAAATAATGAGTACAATTGTGCACCAATATAGCAGTCTCTGTCAAAAAGGAAAGGTGCATAAGAAAATTGGACAGTTGCACGAAACTGAACTGAGTTTACTATTTATGTGACAAACATATATGTGTATATATATAGCCTGTTAATTTATTTTTCCCTCTGCCTCAGACCTTTTGGTTATATGTAAATAAGTGAATGCGGAACAAGTTTAATATTAATAACGTTTTTTTCTACTGCTCAATTAATAGTGATTATGACCATAATTCTGAGTACAGTCTTTAATTTTCAATGGAAACAAGTTGTTTAGAGAAAAAGAATAATGTGTGTTACACTGGGAAGAGCTGATGCCGTTATACATACCTTTTGCTGTCTTCTAAGTGCTTTTAGATACAATCAGAATACTGAAAGTTCATTTCTTCACTACCTAAATATATCATTCTAAGATTGAATGTTGCAAATGTTGTCATTTCCATATCATTCGTTATGCAAGGTATATTTTTATGTACTAATTCATGATGTTGCATGCCTTTCTGAACGAATGTATTTGTGAGGGGTGACATTTTCTTTCTGAATGAGTACTTGAATCCTATTTGGGAGTGCCCAGACTCAGCGTAATGAGTTAAAATCCTTCATGTTTCATGAAGGCTATGAAATGGTCTGTCCTGTGAATATTTGCAAGGTGGAGAGTTTTTACAGGAAAACAGGCAGGAGTTTGAAAATGTGCCCATTACTAAGTGGGGACAATTGGATTTTTTTACCACATGGGCTTTAACCAACATTGACCAGCATGTGACTGTAGAAAGGGAATGTTGAAATCTCGATTTGAAATCTGTCAAGAATTACTTTTTGTTTTGAAGATTTGTGTAATGGGGAAATATTGGTTTTGGATTTAATTTGCCACTTGCATTTGTATACAAGGGGGTATAATCTTATTCAACACGTTTGGCTACCAGAAGTGGCCAGGACGGCAATATCTTGAACCCTAGTGAATGGGTTTTCTGCTGGTTGGGAGCTGAAGGGAAGATACAGTCTAAGGAGACTTGGAGAACAGAGTTTAGATTGAAGGGAGTGAAGCAAATTGAAATGTTATCAAGCTGGGCTTTTATTAGGAACATTGGCCCCCATTCTGTTCAGTTGAGGCTGATCTGTATTCTAACTCTACTTAATCAATTACCTATCTTAATTCCATATATTTGATACTACTTTTGAAACATACATTTATCAACCTCTTATGAAATTGTCAATTTTCTCCCTTCCTAATTTTGGTTTGGAGAGACTGTTGCAGCCTTGCAAAATTTGGGAAACAGTGCCCCTCCACATCACCATAGAATAGTTGAGCTCTAAATCTGGAGTTATGTTTCATTGTTCTGGACATTCCCGCCAGCGGAAATAGTTTCCCTGATTCCTGCCTGTCCACTCCTCAAATTGTCTGCTAAATATCTCGACTAGATCGGCCCTTAATCCTCTATCCACAAGTGAATATACTTGGAAGTGGTTCCTTTGGTCTGCTCCTGAATTAGCTGACCAGAGCTTGGGACAGTGTTTGTGGTTTGCTACAACTGGCTTCAGGGTTTGTAAAGGCAAGAAACTAGCAAAGTTCCCACTTTCTCTCACAGGCTATTGACTTCCCTACTACTACAGCAGCCCTTGTTAGTTGGTGTGATAAGATCAGATTTGGCTGCAAACTTCCAATGTTCAATGTCTAGGTTCAGGCTTTCAAAAAATGCAGTCAAATGAAAGGATTAGAACATTTGTGGTGGAGTTACAGAATATGATGCCAATTACACCAATATTTCCCCACTCTCTGCACAATCTGAAAGAACCAGACTAGTTTAAAGCCAGTTTCAGGAGCTGAAACTTGGGGTTACAGCAGTCTGTGATCTTCTTGCCTATCTGCTGTGGATTACATGCTTTTCACATGTGTTCCTTAAGTTACTGAGTAATTTGTATCAAACAGAATGTTAGACCGAAGAAATCTGTGATTTGTTTTGTTGTAAATTCTTAATTTATTTTTTCCTGTGAATTTCTTTTTTTTTAGATGGTTAAAATGCATTTGTCACAGAATAAAAATAAAAATCTACCTTTTAAAGCTGACTGTTTAATGATTTCTTTCTTTAATTAATCTGAAGGAAGGGTGTTTCGGTAACCATGTCAACCCAGATTTTGTGTGTGTGTGTGTGTGGAAATTTATTGTAGTCACCATTCTTTTGTAGCCAAGTCTCCTTCATCTTCGCAAGTGATGGCTACTTTGGGAGTGACCATTTCTGGTGGCTGAGCTTGAATATTTAATGAAACTTATAAAAATCTGAAAAGATGCAGCTTTTGGCTTATAACTTGCCCCCACAGCATTCTGCCTTCCTCTTCAAACCCCCAGCAAAGCTAAGAAGTTGTTGTTTTGAGGCTGCGAAAAGCTGATCAACAGATGCTCCTACTCTCCACATGACTGGAACAAACAACGAAGCTGCAAAGATCTTGCTGCATAGAATGGACCATTTGTGCCTCCTACAATGCCTACTTAATCTCACCCTATCAGTATATCCTTTTATTCCTGTCCCCTTTGTTATCTAACTTCCCATTAAATGTTATTCACATCAACTACTCCATACAATAGAGTTCCACATTCCAACTATGCTCTGCACAAAGTTCCTCCTAAATTCCCTATTGGATTTATTATCTTTTATGTATATACGCCCTTCCCAATTTATGTCTTTGCTGGAGGGAGTCAAAAACTTTGTCTACCCAACTGAAACCCTTCATAATATATCAGATAACTTTTCAGGCTTTTGTACAGAGAAGGGATCCAGTTCATTCTGCTTTTTCTGATATCTCTCTGATCTGATATTATTCCTATTGATTATTTTTTGTTACACCTTCTCCAGTGTGTCATTATCCATTTTTATGACATGCTTAGACCTATTGCCTGCCTGCCTTACAGCAACTTTAGTGATGGATCAGCAAAAAGTTGTACACTTGTCTTTCTTAATCTGCACTCGCAAATGACAAGTCACTGGGGGGAAAAGAAACTAAGACTTTCAACTTCACTAGAAATTTGTCTTGAGATTGTAGGGCACTGTGTCTCAGGAAAAAAGCATTGGCCTTGAATAGGTACCAGCTCACCAGAATGATAACTGGGCCATAAGGGTTAGGTTACAACGACTGCTTGATTTGACTAGGCTTGTATTGCCCAGAGTATAGAAGATTGATCTAATTAAGGTGGTTAAGATGATTAAAGGATTTAAGACTAAATGGAGACCAATTATTTCCTCTTGGGGTGTGGTGGAGGAATGCACAGTGTGCAGAATAACAGTCATAAGCTTAAAATTCTCTGATATTGAGGGGTGATAAGAAAATGCTCCTTCATGAATAAGGGGATGGAAATCTGAAATAAGCAGCCCTAAGAAAGATGTTGGAGCTGGAGGGTAATTCAATGTTAATTAGATTTTGTCATGAGTGTTTTGAGAGTTGCAGAAGTAATGCATGTCATTGGCATTGAGACAGAAATAGCTATGACCTGAATGGGTTTCAGGGGCTGAATGGGCTCTTCCTGTTCCCACTGTTTCTAAACATGTTTTTAAAATTTTTCCTTCACCTCCCTTCCAGCTTTATTATCCTGTCTAAGTTTTGAAAGATCTTCCCCATTGCTGTGTTTGTGAACCTTTTGAATTTCTAAAGATGAGTGGCTTCCATTCAATTGCTCAGGCAATTGTTCTGAATGAACTGGAATTTTGACCTATCAATGGGCCATATTACCGATCATTGGGAGAAAGAAAATGAATGATAGCACCCAGGTAACTGCTTCTTGAAGATGTTTACTAAGGAATAAACATTGGCCTAGGGCACTGACTATCAGTGGAGAAATGAAAAGATTTTCTTCACGCAAACCTTGGTTAAAATCTGTACAGAATATTGATGCCCTGCAAAACTAGGCCCAATATGTTTGCTGGAGTTTGAATCCGAATCAGGCATAAGTAAACTAAATCATTTCCTGCCCAAGCAATCTGAAATGATCCACAAAGGTGATTCTGTAAGCTAGTATTGGTGGCTCGTGAAATTCTAAATGTCTCTAACAGCGCTCCATTATGAGAATTGCTAAGCTTCCAGAATTAACCTGCAGCATCCCAAGCTTGAACACCAGGAATACCTGTTGTGATCAAATCCAGGAAAATTATCAAAGGAGGTTCAAAATAAGAAACAATGTTGTTTTTAATTTTCCATAAGTGCTTTTGTTACCACCATTTTTATATATGAGAGACAGGGTTAAAGATGACATTTAACCGGGTTCAATACCAGCCACTGGCAACTGTCTCTGTGGAGTTTGCACATTCTCTGGGTGCTTCGGTTTCTCCCACAGTCTAAAGATGTGCAGGTTAAGGGAGTAGCCCTGCATTGCCCATGGCTAAAGGTGGAGGGAAGGGGTTGGGTCTCAGTGGGATACCGTTCGGAGGGTTGGTATGGACTCAATGGGCTAAATAGCCTGCTTTCACACTGCAGGGATTCTATTAAAGTGATGGACAAGAACCAATTGGATAACAAGGAGTCTGTGGATTTCTCCCTTTATGTCCAATGTGAAGACTGACCTATTAGTAACCCATTGGAAAGAGATTGGTGCAGCCAGCAGGAGTTTGTGCCATTAAAACCTCACTGGCCACAGTTGGCCCCTGAGCTAAAGACCTGACAACAGTATCACCCACCACCCCCAATTTCTTGAAAAGGCAGAAGTGCTGGAGAAACTCAACGGGTCTGGCACTGTCTGTGGAGATAGAAACAACATTAGCAAAGTTCAGTAGGACTCCTTCTCAGAATCAGTTTTCTAGATTTACATTAGCTTCTTTACAAAGAGGACCACTGGAAGCATTTTGCTCTAAAGCTTTCTATTCCACATCATCTATGCATGAGCAAACATTAGAAAACATAATCATGGATCAATTTCCTTCCTGGTTCACATGGAATGAGAGATGCCTGAAATAAATGCAAAAATAAAGGCTAAGTTTAATTTTTTTTTCATGAAGGAACTAAATGTCTAGTTTGAATTGGGATTGGTGATTATAGGGCTAAATACACCTAGAAGAGCTTTTACTTTATAGAAGGGTAAGGGATTATCATTTTATGCATGTAACAGCATTACGGTATCTAGAGCCAAATAAGAAAATCTAACCAGTTATCACTGAATCCTTTGCTATCAATATCCTGATGGTTACTAGTGACCAGAAACTAGATATATAAATATTATGGCTGCAAAACCAGCTCAGAGGCTAAGGCTCTTGGCCTGCTGTGTTCATCCAGCCCTGCACCTTGTTGTCTCGGATTCTCCAGCATCTGCAGTTCCTACTATCTCAGAGGCTAAGGATTCTGTAGTATAATCTCCACTTTCCTGGATGAGTGCAGCTCCAACAACACTTGTGGAAACTTGACGTCATCCAGGACAAAACAGCCAATTTGACTGGCACCCCATTCACCAGCTTAATATTCACATCATCCATCATCGATGCTCAGTAGCAGCAGTATGTACCATCTAAAGAACCACTGCAGCAACTCATCCCAAGGCACCTTCCAACCCACGACCACTTCCATCTGGAAGGGCAAGGGCAGCAGAAACATGGGAATACCACCCCCTCCATGTTCCCCTCCAGTGGCATGAGTGTTCTTGCAGCCTAAGGATTGCAAAAATTTGAAAAGATAATTGCAACCACCTTCCAAAGGTAATCAGAAATGCTGATCTAGACAGCAACACCATATTCCATGAATTAATGAAAAAAAATCCCAAGGTAAATCTGCACTGTCAGATATTTCCTCTTCCTGATCAGAATTAAACGAAGACCCCATCCACCTTGTAGGCGTATGGGTACGAAGGGTGCCATTGTATGCTTTCAAAGTAATGGAGACAGTAGAGTAATGGTACCGTCACTAAGTTAGTAATTGAGAACCCTGCATTTGTTTCCTGGGGACAAGGGTTCAAACACACCATGGGAGTTGATGAAGTTTAAATTCAATTAAAAATCTGCAGTTTAAAAAGCCAGCCGAATGCTGACCACATAACCATTGCTGATTCTGTTTTATTAATGCTCTTGAGGGAATTGAATCTGCCATTCTGGTCTGGCCTACATGTGACCCCGGACTCTCAGTAATGTGATAGTCTCTTAAACCCCCTCTGGGCAATTAGGGATGGGCAATAAATCCTGGCCCAACCAGCGATGCCCATGTCCCATGAGTGAATAAGAACACATAAATCTCCAGCATCTGCACTTTTTAATAAACTAGTTTCCAACCTTCCAAGATAACAAGGTGTAGAGCTGGATGAACACAGCAGACCAAGCAGCATCATAGGAGCAGGAAAGCTGACGTTTCAGGCCTAGACCCTTCATCAGATATGGGGGAGGGGAAGGGGGTTCTGAAATAAATAGGGAGCGAGGGGGAGGCGGATAGAAGATGGATAGAGGAGAAGATAGGTGGAGAGGAAACAGACAGGTCAAAGAGGCGGGGATTGAGCCAGTAAAGGTGAGTGTAGGTGGGGAGGTGGGGAGGAGATAGGTCAGTCCAGGGAGGATGCAGGATGAGGTTAGTAGGTAGGAGATGGGGGTGGGGCTTGAGGTGGGAGGAGGGGATAGGTGGGAGGAAGAACAGGTTAGGGAGGCGGGGACGAGCTGGGCTGGTTTTGGGATGCGGTAGAGGGAGGGGAGATTTTGAAGCTTGTGAAATCCACATTGATACCATTGGGCTGCAGGGTTCCCAAGTGGAATATGAGTTGCTGTTCCTGCAACCTTCGGGCGGCATCGTTGTGGCACTGCAGGAGGCCCAGGATGGACATGTTGTCTGAGGGATGGGAGGGGGAGTTGAAATGGTTCACGACTGGGAGGTGCAGTTGTTTATTGCGAACCGAGTGTAGGTGTTCTGCAAAGTGGTCCCCAAGCCTCTGCTTGGTTTCCCCGATGTAGAGGAAGTCACAACGGGTACAGCGGATGCAGTATACCACATTAGCAGATGTGCAGGTGAACATCTGCTTGATGTGGAAAGTCTTCTTGGGGCCTGGGATGGGGGTGAGGGGGGAGGTGTGGGGGCAGGTGTAGCACTTCCTGCGGTTGCAGG